GGCGGTTTTCGAGAAGTCGTGTCTCATACGAGCAATTTTATGTTTAGGTGTAGAGAAAGAAGAGTGTGTTAGGGAAAGATGGGGTAGGGTGTCTATGAAGAAAAGGGTGAGAATAGAAGACAAATTGAAGACATTGGAGAACGAAGAATTTCGTATTGTGACTCGAAAGTCGACAGTCTTGAATGAAGCTATGTTAGAGATGGATAAGGCATCATCTACTTAGGATCCTTTGGGTTTTCAATACTGTTTATTAGTTTTCTGGTTTTTGTTTTCTCGGATTTTATGTTTTGTTTTGAACTTTGTTTTGCTTATTTTGGTGTTTATTTTCTTGGATCGTTATGTTTATTCTAGACTTTTTCTAGGATTCTCTGATTATCTCTCTAGTTTGTTTATCGGATAAAATCGACTTCGGATTTTATGTTTAATTTTCTGGTTATCTATCTAGTTGATCTTATGGATTTTTGCTTATATGTAAGCCATCGTTGTTCTGCTAAAACATTAGGCCAGATTTGACTTGTCTATACCAAGTTGATTAGCCACCTAAATGTTAATTCAACCAATTTCATCACATACAAAGGAGAAAAAAAAAACATCATTATAAGGGTAGTTTTATAGAAACAGAACAATTTTTTTCGAGAAGGAGTGAATTTGTTAGATAAATTACTTTCATATCTGAACTCAGAGATCAAGAAGAAAACATTGAAAACTAGACTTTCTGATAACAACTGCTAAAGTAGAAAAATATTCACAACAAGATTTTGCCACTACTTAAATAGCATCAAAACAGTTTGCTTGAAATTTGAGTAATGCAAGGAATAAGCTTCACAGATGATAACATTTACTAGTATGACATGATAAAACCACAAGAGAGTTAAGAATGAACAAAGCAAGTTGAAATACTTTATTCAATTGTCTTCTCTACTGAGGGTACAATTCGATTTCCCGTGACCATAGTTACTATACACAATTCTCACAAAATCTCAGCAATTTCCAGAAATCCAAATGTTACAACAGAGACACTAGACTCTTTACCAGAAGTCATTGCAAGAGCATCTTCCTCCCTTAAAATGATGATATCTAGTTGCATCTCTGACTTTAATCTCTCTTTCTGTAATCACACTTATATGTTTTAGAACAACATGACATTCTCCAGTTCCCGGAACACCTTTAAGTAATCCGTAAGCAACAGCGGATCTTTCACTATGCCAAAACAAAAGCTTTTCTTTCTCTTGCTCATCCATGTCGTGTAGGAGTAGGATCCAATTCATATCAGGAACATAACCTTTTCTTCTTCTCATTTCTTCCTCCAATTTCTTAAGCAATCCAAAGATGTTTTCTTTTAGAGGATAGATGTTTCTCCGGCGGTTTCTTTCCTGACTTCCACGCTATTGTACCCTGGATCTTTCCTAACTTCCATGTCTCCTAGTTTCCTTCCTGCTTCTAATACTTTTCCCCACAAAGAAGCACTTGCATAGATGTTTGATAAAAGTATGCAAGTCGACGGATTTTTCGGTTTAAAGCTTCTTAAGAGATAATCCGCGATTCTGACACCCATTTGACCTTGTCCCTGGCGCTTACAAGCGCTAAGCAAAGCAGCCCACGTTGGTTCATCCGGAGGAAATGGCATTGAATGAATTAAATTCTCAGCCTCATCAAGGAGCCCAGAGGCCGACCAAGAAGATCTAATAAGCATGTATAGTGCTGGAAGGACGGGCGAATTCCGTAGTCATTGGTCATTGATTGAAAAAGCTCACGGCCTTTAGCCACAAAACAGACATGGCTACACGCGTATATCAACCCAACAAACGTCACCTCATTTTAAGCTTTACACCGTGAGAAACCATGTCATCATAGAAGGCCAATGCCTTCTCAGCCTGCCCGTGCTGAGCCATGCCAACTAACATCTCTATGACGCATTCTACTGAAAATATCCGTTGCAGCTACAACCTCGCTGCATTTAGCGTACATATCAATAAAAATAAAAATAAAATAAACACACAAGAACCAAATCGTGAACCTACCTCCCTGCTATCGAAGCTGCCAAATTCACAAGCGCCAAGAATGCTCGAAAGGATCCAAAATGTCGACTCTTTCTCTCCTCGTTTCAGTAAATACGGAAAAAGCTTCAAGCCCTTTCCCACTCTGTACAAAACCAGAGATCAATACTGGTAATCGTCTGAAAAGCTCCAAAGTCGCCTCTTCCTTTTTTTCCGCTTTTAGCGCATCCAGATACCATGGCGGTCCACGAAATGGTGTTTTTCAATCTTATAGAATCGAAAACTGATTTAGCACTATCAGGTAAATCACATTTGGCGTACATATCAACCAGTGAAGACTTAACATTAACAACATCATCATGAGGAGAACACTCAGATACTAATGGGCTACATTGAGCGATCCCGGGCTTGACAATGTTGGCATGGAGGGATTTTGCAGTGGTTAGTGAGGGATAAGCATTCAACAGATATCGATACAGACAATCAAAGTCGAAAAAAGGAAAAAAATTACGTCCAAAATTTGTACCCATTAGAGTGCCCCAAAAATGTTATTTGTCCCATACGTTTTAATTTGGGTCCATATAAATTTAATAAAAGTTGGGCTATTGAGACACGGTTTAACTGCAGTTTGGATACGGGTATAACGCGGTTTGACAAGCATATCAAGGTGATTTTATGTCGACTTATTTTTTTCTTCTCCAAACTTCGATCAATTG